GCAGTAGCGCTATTCACTTGCAGGGGACACTGCACAGAGAGACGTGGCGTAATGGCTAACACTATCCCTTTGGATTTTATTTAAATACCCGGGTTCGACTCCCGCCATCAGAAAGGAATGAACAAAACTCTTTATTACTAATTATTCATCATTAGTTTCCCTTCCATTATCCGTCAAATTCACCATATACTCTCTATAAATAATACCATCCGCTGACTTTGCCGCATCCAAATCCTTCCGAATCATCCGGGTCTTCCCATTTCTCGTACAATTATGATATAACCTTCCATACAACTCAAATTCCGATCCCATATCACCACTAAGTCGCCCATTTTGATACAAAAACGTGTGATTTCGAGCGTGGATTCGTTGTTTTTTGGTGATTTGATCGTCGTTTATGAAATATCCAGCCCAAGATTCATTCTCGTCATCCTCCCAATGTGAAATCGTCAGGAAGAACGTGTCGTCGATGTCGCATTTCACTTCAACACCGAATAGAAATCGAGTGGCTGATGAGACGGAGATTAGCAGGAGAATCGAGCACAAAATCAGTGAATTTTGCATTTTGAGGATGCGAGAAATGATAGTTTCGGGGCTGAAATGAGGGATCTAGCCGAGGGGGAGGGGTGTCACGTGGTTAAGATGTTTTTCAATATCCAAAAATGTCGTAAAATATGACGTTGAGTCTGCAAACACCACAGAAAAAAAGAAAAAAGATTTGACCCCCGTGGAGATTGAACCCGCGACCCCATTCCCAAAAACGAGACCGTTAGCCACTAGGCCACAAGGCCATATGACCGCCGCCACCTCTACGCCCTCCCTCTCGAACGCGTCAATGTCCACCGTGGCCTAGTGGCTAATGCTGTTGTTTTTGAATTTTCAAACCCGGGTTCGATCCCCACGGCGGTCAAATCTTTTTTTCTTTTTTTTAAACCACCCCAGCTGGGTTTCTAGAACCATAATTTCCGTTGCAAGCATGGCCTAGTGGCTAGTGATGTTGCTTTTGAAATTTCATACCCGGGTTCAATCCCCGCTGGGATCAAATCTTTTTTATTATTATTTTATAATTTTTATTTTCAAAAAAAAAATTGAAAAAAAAAAGCATAGAATAGCGTTTTGAGCAACGGATGATTTCCAATAAATAATGAGTTTCAGGTAGATCCATAAAACTGAAACAGCATTAAAATTCCCTCTAATAAAAGAGCATGCTCTTTTATCAGAAGATATCACAGAAAAAATATTAAAAGAGGGGACAAAAACACACCGACAGATCATCAGTTTAAGAAATGGGGGCGGACCCAAGGGGGCGGGGCTAAAAACAAGAATTACGCTAAATTTTGGAAAAAAAAATTGAGGAGAAAGGGACATGGAGGATCATGGGGATTTTTTTGGGGTCTATTAAGGTTTTTTTTTTGATAAGAATGAATAGAAAAAAGGCCTCTGGGATGGCAGTGAGGGTTTTAAAAAAATTTAGAAAAAAATCGATAATTTGTTTTGATCTACTCATCCTCAAAATCGTACAACTGCTTGTACAGCGGACAGCACCAGCAGCACCAGCATGACATGGCGATCAGGACTGAAAATTAAGGGAGCGTTGTAGAAAAAAGAAAAAAGAAAGGAGAGACGCAGAGAAGCCAGACTGTCTAGTTGTCTGCACACTCACCTAACAACAAAACGATAGCCGCCAGAATGATGGCGACCACGGCTCCAGTGGGGATGGCGAATTGACAGCACGACGGTTTCCATGATCCCATGTAGGGGAATGTGCAACACCAGTTGTAGTTATCCCAATCGGTTGGTTGTGGGCAGAAAGCGAGGTAACCTGGAAGTTGGAGGAATTTTTTCTAGCTTTTTCGGGCCATCAATGACTTTCTGATTATTTTCCATTTTACGGAATTCAAAAATATCGATTTTGAGCCGAGTTATGCTCATTTTTGTGGAATTGCTCAGAATAAAGTTTTCGAGTATTTAGACTGTAACTCGGCTGAAAATAGAGATTTATGGCTGGGTTATGGACCATACTATTGATACGCCAGATGCGCATCTACGCGTTTACCACTTGATTGATTTGCTCGATGGCCTAACTTTTTGTAATCATTTGAGCTTTTCTATGCAAGCATGTCGCGTTCGATATCAGTTCTG